CTAGCGGAGACGATACGTTAGGAGGTTTCTATCTGTTCCTGGCAAATACGGCATTGATCATCTTGAGAAATTTTGAGAAACGCTTTTTTTTATAAAGTTCTCTTCCCAACGCTTGATCTTGGGCAGCTATTAAAACCGCTTCCGATTCGGGCTTCATTCTTTCCGTTTTATGCCGTATAAATGATTAATTTTCATTGATCTGCATCTCGCCCGTTCTTTTTAGATATTGTCCACAGGGTGGTTAGTCCCTCCATAATTTCTTTAAAATTATTTGTGTATCACATTTCATGTTATGTAGCATCAGAGATTCAGTGTCTATGTTATTGTGCGTGTATTGCATAATCTTGTTCGCAATGTTTCTTGCTTCACTTACAATGCCTCTGTTTCCCATTCTTCGGATAGATTTAATCACCTGCCTCATTTCATGATCTGGATCTTCTTGATGGCTGACTACACACTTTCCTATCCTAAATATTGCACTGTGTCAGAAAGCTTCAATTTGTATGAGGCCCTTTCCTTCTTCCTTACGTGACACAAAGTCTGTGTACATCAGCTCGGAGGAGTTCGGCGTGATGCATTGTAAACAGATTTCTGTTTATTCGATTCATGGAAAAGGTGTCCCAGGGCATGAACTTAATGTTACTGCAGTTCTTCGGACCGGGAGGTCCTAGGTTCGAGTTCCAACGTTATCGTCGGGGCATCTTGCTACTGCGGTGGCAGGATTTTAGACATTAGCTAGATAGCTATGTCGCGCTCTGTCGCTGTCTGGAGGAGAATTCTAGCGGCCAGCTGCTCGGATCGGTAGTTTTCCGTGGTTTCTCCGAACAACACCAGGCGAATACCGGAGCAGTACCCTCCCAAACGGAAAACGGAGCGCCTGCGATCTTTCCTTGTTCTTCCTCGTTTGGACGAGGATTTGGATCCACACACCTTATTTACTGACACTTACACTAACACTAACATGCATTACACTGCCACACATCCTGGGCGAGCGGTCTGGAGCTTAGAGGTTGCCCGGACTGGGGCGGTGCCTCGCTAGTGGGAGATACCTGGTTGGGGGAAACCCCGCTAACCGTCGGTAGGTCACAATCTAGCGGGGGAAGATCACAGCCATCTCCCGAGGGAAAGAATGAACTACACTTACGGGAGTAATGAGCTTATCCTGGAATTCCTAATTCATCAGGCAATCCGTGATTCTAATTCCTTGTTCCGTCATCTCCACAAGTCCGAAAGAGTATTTGGCTTCAGGCACCACCAAACTACCCATTGAAGATACTTTATTCCTGGAGTTCAGGGCGGACTGAAGGACAAGTCTCACTCTCTTGTAATGCTTCCTGTGAATTGTAGTTTTCATTGTGTCGTTCGAGATGATCGAGATGCAGATGTTATTGCTAAATACATTGACGACAGACAGCATTAGTAGAGAATCGCTTCATTTTTAGCAAACACTTTAAGATCATCCATATAAAAAAACTTCTTTCATAACCATGGAACTTGTAACCAAACTCATTATATTAATTTAGCAATGATACTACTTATCGTAATACTGTATATAGTAACACTGTATATAATGTATATTCAGATTGTTATTCAATATTCAGTTCAAATTGTCGTAATTTTTTCGAATGAATATATTGTAAATATACACTTCAGATAATGCTCATGAATTTGAAAACATAATATAAATTTTGATCATAATATGTTGAATTACCTGTGTTCTAGGTTCTTGGTTTTGTTAGAGGCATTTACCAGCATCAACTGCCTTATTGAAAATCATCTTGATAAAGGAATCCCACCTACGATGTTCAGAGGGTGACAGTTTAGATTAATAACGGAGGTGATGTATCAGCGAATTATCAAGCAAGCACCAACCAAGCCCTTTAATTGATACGTGCAACTAACAGTATAGAAGCACATGTAAAACGAAAGAAGAATATCTAGTCTAAATCAATGTCTAAGTACAGTAGTTATAAGCAAGCTAAATAAATTGCAGAAACATTACACCTAGTTAATTTTTCAATGTCTATTTCCTACGAACATGAAAAGCTGTATCAATCCGCAGCCAAGAGGTAATTGTGACACTTGGAACTTCTTTCAGGTGGCTTTGATAAGATACTGCGCACACGTCACAGGATACTCGATAAGATTGCCAGGCGAATGGGGACACAAGTCAAGGGCGCACATGATTCTCCGACGAAGCGCAAAACCCAGCGCTCCCTTTCGGAGCGCATTCCAACAAACGAGTACGCTGCACAACCGCGCCGCCTCTCTTCAAAAATGCGGAAATTCGCCGATAGCGTTCGATCAGTTAAAGTGGGTGGAACCTTCGGAACAAAAGCAACCGCGCAACAGTCCGACCGTGCGACCGTGCAACACCGCAGCTGAGGATGTGGTCGGCACATTTCTCGGGCCCGAAAAGGGGCGGTCAGAAAAGACCCTTCTTGCAGAAGAAAGTTGCATTCGTTATCTCCTCAATTATTGGTCACTCAATTTTAGAACTTGTTTAAATGTCGTACTGATGTCTGCGTCTTAAACTACCATGGGATCAGCAAGGTCAAACGTGTTCGCACGTGTCAAATAGATCAAATGTGTTCTCTTGGTCATCATCAGCATCATAATTGTTGTTCTGTATACTTTGTCCGTCAGTCCCCTGAATGGTACTTCGGTGCATCATCCATTTGCTTCCAGAATTCTCCATCATCCATTTGGTTGCTCAGCATACACTTAGTTATTTACAATCCTCTCTCCCTCTCTCTCTTTCCCTCTCCCTCTTTCCCTCTCTCTCTCCCTCTTTCCCTCTCTCTCTCCCTCTTTCCCTCTCTCTCTCTCTTTCCCTCTCTCTCTCTTTCCCTCTCTCTCTCTTTCCCTCTCTCTCTTCCGTTCTCTCTTTCCCGCCCCTCTCCTCTCTCTCTCCTCCTCTCAGCGTAATTTTGTCCTAACTTTTTTGCGTTAAGGTCACATGGAGACGTCGCGAGCAAGCATCGCGGCGCTGGCGAACGCAACCTTAGAACTAAAGGCAATTTGGGCGGCGCGGCCGGTGCGCGTGCACGCGATGCAGTGACACTCCGCAGCAAACCAATGTTGTACGCGTGTGTCCCCCTCCCCCCCCCAGTCCCCCCCGTCCGGCCGGCGCTTGCCCCGCCGCCCGTTAATTGTCCATTTTTAAAACCGTGAATAATTTATATCCATTAACGGACTTTATTTCACCGGTCGCGCCCGCCTCTGGTCGCGGGGCGCCGGCGCCGGGCCGCTCCCGGATCGCCGCCTCGCTCACCGGCCGCCATGTTTGTGCCAATCTCATGTGCGGGCGCTACCCACGCGGTGCTGCGCCCAGATCAGACGCCGTTCTCTTCTCGCCGGCGCGTCGGCTTCGCACGCAGCGCCCCAGACGAGTAGCGCGAGGCTGCGTGCGCGGACAACGGCCTGCGCATGCGCACGTACACACTGCGCTCAGTTGTTGCTGATTTCTCGTTTTGAATGTACTATGATGCAAATTTCCATTTATCACTTAATCCAAGAAATATCAGTATTACAAGTACTTACAACTACTACTAATGTTGCAGTTCTGGAAAATGACCTCAAGTGAAAATTGCAAACGAGTTGCTTGCGGAATTCTTCTCCCATCCGCCTGGCTTTGTGTTTTACTTTGAAGGTAACCTAAATTGAAATTTTAAGGCATGCTACAAATTTCATCAGCTCTAGCGAAATCGAATCTACAGATCTTAAAAAAAAGCCATGCTCACCATCCGAAAAAGCTCCCTCGAAAAGTGTGCATTTTAAAACGAGTGGTTGTAGTCCGTAAAAAATTCCTTTCACGTCTTTGAAAATATAAAAATGATTCAGAATAGTTTTAATTTTGGTTTTAGTCTCGACCAAAAGTAGAAAGTTAACACACTTTGAAAACTAATCCTTTATGAAGATTTTTTTAACTCATTTTGACGATTTCATTCAAAAGAACTAATAAATTAAGACATAATTTTCTGGTTTACATTAAAGTAAGTTCTTATCTCCACCCCCCTTTTTTTTTTTTTGTTTTTTTTTTTTTTTTTTTTTTTTTTTTTTTGCATTTTTTGAAAAGTCATATTGCTTCCAATCGGACGCTCTTCTAAAATAAGCGCCTAATCTGGATATGTTAAAACTTAGATTAGCATTGTCAATTATTTTCAATTTCTTCATTCCTTCTGGTCTTTAATATTAGATTAAATCGTTTTATAAAGAGAGACAAACATAATTATTTAATCTCGAATCTTATGCATTACTTTTGCGTACCCTTCGTCCAAAAGTAATTCTTCTTGACGTCCGAGGAATCTCTCAGATTCTGCAGAGAACACCCAACGTTAAATATAGTGGGTGGAAATATTGGTCCTTGCTGGATTTATTGTTGCATTAAAAAAGGCTTTCAATAAAAGATGTCCAACCACAACAAAGTTTTAATTGCTAGTGCGTGTTAAAGTTAATTCTGCTGGCTTTTGACGTATATGGGCAATATTATGGAAGTCGCATTGAAAGTAAGAATAACTTTGCTAAGGAGAATGTAGATGTTCTTTGGTTTGGTTTATATGTTGCATGGCGGGCTGGCGTGTGTGTGGTGTTTGAAGAGAAGAGAAGAAGAGAGAGATGAGAGAGGGAGAGGAGAGAGGAGAGAGGAAGAGAAGAGAAAAGAAAGAAGAGAGAGGGGAAAAAAATTCCGGTTCTAAGAGAAAAAGAAAAAAATTAGATATTTTACTGAGATATTTCTATAGAAATGAAGGTAGGATTATTCAAACTACTATTGGTGTGCGTGTGTGTGTTCGCGCGACAATACGAATTGTTGTGATAACGAGACTGGCAGAGAGAAAGGATGGGAGTAAGTGAATGAATAAGTGATTGATAGAAATGAATTTTCGTTCGCCGTACGATGGAGTGTATGGATAGTCATCCTGACATATTACAGTAACGATGCAACATTAAAGTGGTGGCGCCGCCTATGAACAAACTAATGCTGGCGTGTTGGTAACGCGATGGAGCCTGCCCGAAAAAGCGGCTCCAACGCAGCAGCTGACCCGGCCCGGTCTCCGGTTCCTCGCGTCCGCGCCACTGAACCCGGCGGCACAGGGCGAGCGGGCCGCCGGGCGGCGGGAGGGGTCGTCCGACGAATTGCGTGCCGGCGCAGCCACGCGCAGCCGGCCCCCCCGCTCGCTCGCTTCGCGCTGGCAGGGCCGGGTCCGCCTGCGCCGCGCTCGCAACGGCGAGCAGCGCGCGGCGCGCGCCAGCCGCCCGACGCCTCGCGCTCGCGGCAGCGGCCAGAGGTATAAGCGCGGCGGCGGACTGACGGCTTCGCGTCACCGCGGATCGCCCCTGGCCAACGCCCCCCGCACGCCGCCCTCCCGTGGGCGGCGCCGGACGACGTGCGAAGTTTTTGAGTTAGCGGTGCGCGATGCGCCGCAGCCCCGCCCGCCCGCCGCGCATTCAACGAGCGCGCTGCCTCCGTAGGACGCATAAAAAGGCGACGGCTCGCCCGAAACAAAGCCCTCGCCATTCCAGAGGCCGCGCTCGCGCCGGCCGCACGCAGCTCTCGACGGAGAGCCCTTGTGGGACGCGTCTGATGTGTTTCAATGGCTGCGCCCAGCTACATTCAACGGACAGTCGCCTCAGAAGCTGGGTGTGAGTATCAACTATACTAACACTTATCTGTGTCGTTTTCCGGAACAATGTTGTGTTACAATGCTGTGGACGTCCATGAAAATGAATGAGTTAATTGTGTACGTGAGTATATACAATGTTTGCCTATATAATATGTATTCCTATATTTATGATAAAGTCAACTTTTGTGTGTTTCAGGTAATATGGCGTCAGGTATTGGTAAAAGCTCGTCAAAATCCACCGCTGGTATTAACAACAATTCTGTATTCATGTATGCGTCTCAGTGTAAATAAATGCCAAAGGATATAGATTATTCACTATTTTATTATTTTCTTGATTACACAACGACAAGATTTTATTAAAGAAAAACGTGAAAGTACTAATATATGATGCTGTATTTCCTTGTGAAAGCACGGTTCTTAGAGCTATCTGAACACTATACGTGATTAGAAAAAGGATAATTGAATAAGCACAAGACACAGCTATGAACAAAAATTGAGTACAAAGATAAAAAAGAGTGTGTTTTAATAACGCCATTGAGTAATCAACGAAAGAAATGAGGAGTGAAACCAAAATTCAGGAATTCATTAATCAAATTCGACATTCACCCCAAGAATAATGACTGAAGAAATAAATGTTGTTATAAGAAGAATTCAATAAACTTTCTGAGGGTGCCTTCAATTTGCAGAGCACAAAAAGTGACGACATTTCAGTTTTTAAAAAAGTAGATATGAATAGAACATCATTTGAGGATGAAGTAGAAGAATTTAAACATTTTAAAAATAAAATTAAAACAAAATGCTAATACAATATTTTGCTAAGAGAATAAAAAACGTTGAATTGTAGAATAGTTGAAGATAAATGCGTAAATGAGTAAGCTGCTCACTATCTCAATTCTAAGAAAATGAGATACTCGACGGAAAGAAAACAAACTTCGAACTTTGATCGCAATGTGTCACTGGAATTTGTAATAATATTAAAAATGTCTGGATCGGTCGTGCAGTCATAATTCCTTGATGGAATGAATTAAATTTTAAGGCGAATTCAACTGTTAATGCGATGTTATGTCCATGTCAAGACAATAGAGAGCTCAAAAGCATCATTCAATTTTTCGTCGGCATCAATAAGGAAAGGAAGACTAGTGGTGCTACAGAATGGCACAGACTTTCCTGTATTAGTTTTCTATTTCCTATAGTCTCGGCTAGCTATTCGAACTCGCCACATACTCTTGCCTGCTGCGATCTATCGCCACCCAAAATACTTTTTTTTTTTTTTTTAATTTTCTTAATTTTTCGACTTTTAATTAGTAGAACAGATATATAATTTTAAGAATATTAAATAACAAATAAAACCTCGTCCTAAATGACAATTTAGGACAATCTTTAGAAAATTGAAAGCGGTTCTTAAGAAAATGTCGCTTAAGCGCTACAGTATATTCGAAATTTAAAGCCCTTTTTCACAGAAAAGTTTTGAGTTTTAGCAAAACTTCATTTGAAGTCATTCAAAGCACATTAACACACAAATATAATAGTGATTACAAATTGCTGGAAATGTGCATATTACCGGGGTGAGAGATCTTTTAAAACAATTACATTTGTGTAATGTTTGAGAAAACGAAAAAGTACCGCACATTGAACTTTACTTGAATAAAGTTGAAGCCGGTTATGAGAAAATAGCGCTTAAGCGTTTCTGTAATTGCGAAATTTTAAGTTAGTTGTGAGCCACTTTTCACACACAACGGTTGAGTTTTCGAGAACCTTTACCTGACATTATTTAAAACACATGTACTCACACATACAATAATATGAACAAATTGCCGCAAATGAAAATATTAACGTCGTGAGAGACAAGTCAAAAAAATACATTTTGTCATTTTTGAAAAAACAAAGGAATAGAGCAGATATGGCGTTCATGCCAGTTCATAGAGTACATTTAGCACAATCCAATACCAAAAGTTTCAAGAAAAAATTTAGAGCCGTTTTTGAGAAAAACTTGTTTTTGTTGATTTGTGTATGTGTTGTAATTTTTTAAAATTGCACAAATTACACGCAATATTGCGACGAAAACTACTAAATATTTCAAAAATATGTACGTTACCTTAATGAAAGAACAAATTATGAACAACAAATTTTATTTGAAGGAAATATCTCTATTTTAAATTTGTAGTTGTAGGAAGCCCGCCCAAAAAACATCAACTCTCGAATTTTTTGAAAATTTAGAGTTAACTGTGAAAATTGAGCCTATGCCGCCTTTACCTGCATTTGACTCTTACAAGAAATTTAAAGAAAAAATTGAAGCCATTTTTGACAATGTTTTGAAAATGTCCGTGGGGCTTCATGTAAAATACCCCCAAAAACTAATGAATGATTTTCAAAATCACAGAGCTTCGACTCTGGCCAAATTGATAGGGGTTTCATTAATTTGGAAAATATTATATCCATGGTTTAGGGGCGAGTGTTGTTCACATACACTAGACAGACAGTCGGATGGACTAACTTTTAAGAAAAACAAAACTTTTTCTGTATCTGGGGACCCCAGAACGTGGATTTCCGTTGAAATCTCGAAATTGATTTTCCACAGCATTACACAACTTTCCTTATACTTCGTTTATTACTTCATATATACGTACGTAAACGGGAAAGTAAAAAGCATGATACAATAACATTCTAAGGTTCATATTCCTCAAATATTTATAATCTATGTTTATTCTGTTACCGGAGATTTCAGAGATGATTTGTAATTATGTAATAGAACGTTAATCCTTCAATTCGAATTCAAGACATTGTGTAATTATCAAAAGAGTTAGAAATAGTTACTTCTATAATAATGAAATGTGTGATGTGAACGACTGAATCACAGTCTAAACAACAGAAGTCAAGAGATCTTGCTGCAGAGCATAGATTGTACCACATTCCAGCGCAATGAGCTCATGCTAATCTCTGGTCGAGAAATTTCTCAAGAATATATTGACCGAACTAAATAAACTTTTTCTGAACACTGCTCAATTAGACATTAATCCTTTCAGATTAATGTATCAGAGAATCCGAGTAAGCTACGCCTGTATTAGTTTTCTTTCAAACAGAGAAGCGACTTACAATTTGGTAAATAAATAGTACATTAAATTAAGCAAAATACAGACTGGTAAGAGCAGTCTGACTTAAATAGATCCACTTAAAACTAGCTCATATCTCAAAATATACAGCAAGTAATATAGTAAGTTTTTTATAGAAAACAGTAATTTCAGTTATCTGAAGAAACAATTGATAACTTTTAAGGTTTTGCAATCTTCATTTTCTGAAGACTTCTAGCAAATAAATAATCAATACACAAATTATTTTGTATGTCGATCACTTTTAAACTTTACTTCGCTTATGTGTACAATATTTCGCCTAAAAATTTCGCAGAAATAGAGCTGTCAGCAAACAAATCTCATTAAAATTTAGAGACATACGTTTATACTGAAAGGACATTAAAAATATTACAGCACAATATATATTACAGAATATCTGCAAAGGAAACTATGACACGCAAGAATCAAATCAATTAAATTTTAAGATCCAGTACTTATTTTTATTTGGAAGTTCAAACTACTATTGCACCTTTCTATGTAGATGTCAGGACAGCGGTTTCAATATAATTTTTATTTGTAATCTTCAAGAACTTTACAAAAGAAGTAAGGAAGATCTACCTTGTGTCAGCATTTGTCTGATAGACATTGGATTTCTTAGTACACATGCGATTCCCGAAAATGACTTGCATGCACCCCACCCTCCCTCCAAAAAAAGAACACTATTTGGTCAGTTTTTATAACTAACATATGACCACTGATATTTATTAGCGAAAAATAGAGATTACGTTCCGTATTGTTGTATCAATGTAGAAATTATTAGGGTAGAAAGTTACAGATTATTAAACAAAACATCTGGCAAAAGAGAAAGAATGAAACGTCCTTGCGTATCTTCAATGTTTTTTTTACTGCAAACATGCCAAAATCGTTTGCAATCATCGCTGCTTGTTCTTTTCAGAGTAGGCAATAATTCAATGTAAATAATACGGGAAAGTACATTGTGTACATATTGTAAAAGTACATATTTAAAAAAAATTGTTTTCTGTTATTCAAGTGCCAGAAAATATAATACCTGAATCACCAGCTAAGAATCAAGGCGAAAACAGCTAAGAACATACTACTTGCGCTTGTTTGAGAATGAAGGCAACATTAAATATTTATTACAGTTAAATTGACCACATTAAAGTGGAAATGATGTGTCATAATAAATGTTTCTCTTGAAAAAGAAAACTCATACAATTTCGAAGGCTGCTAAAAATTTCCTTGGTCCTTTTCAATGTCTTAAATTAAATTCATTAACTCTTCAACGCGAGCCGTTAGGGAAATAATGAGGGTATGGGTAGCGTTCGTTTACGGATTTTGTCCGATGAATTAGAAAGATTGTATCAGAAGAAATAAATACCATCTTTTTCTTTGTAAAATACTGTTCGCATGCCACATCTCATAACCAACCAAAGCGCTTCACCATCTAAGTAAACATACATCCAACAACGAAACAAAAAATACTGGAAATATATAATTCGGAAAATGTGCATTATGATTATTTAAATACTGCGTGTAAAATTGTTTATTTGAAAGGTAGGGGAGACAAAATTATCCTCATTGAAATATCGATAAGTGGACTTGGGAACGGTGATGACTGGAGGCTAAAAAATTTACGACATTGCTTTCCCAATTTCCCCATTTAGTTAAGCTGCTCAGGATTATACAAACATCTCTTGAGTTCGAACGATACATAAATGAACTTGCGTCTAGAAAATGAAGAGATTTGACAGTAAAATGTTCTGAAATCAACATTGTATACAAAAGCATGTGTAGATATCATGAATTCTTGTACATTACGACGTACTAAAAAGAAAGCAGTTATGCCAGATTTACTGATGAATGATTTCAAACCCGTGCGTAAAGATATGCAAAGTAAGAACAATTTGTTTTTGTTTTTCGTTTCATAGCTCTTCGACTATCACTGATATGTGTGGTGAATTATCGCCGAATACAAAAGCAGATAATTGAACCTTTTGAAGCGAATTTTCACCAAGTGGTCCAAATACTTCAAGAGACCTTGAAGGGCTGATTCAACGCGCTCCAGGTTCATGCGAGGCGAAAGGAAAGATCGCGAATTTTTATTTTATTTTCTCCATATATATTTACTTATTTTTTTACCTACTATCTTAATATTTGAAAACAAATATTTCATTTTTCCTTAAAACGAAGGAAATTTTATAGTCAATTTTGTGTTCCCTAAAATTGTATTTTATTGATATCGATAGGGGGAGAGCAAAACCTTGTGACTGACTAA